AGAGGGCGTTCAATTCCCTGCCCCCACAACAGACGCCACACTGCTCTATCCTTTTACCTCCCACACTGTCCCCCCCTCCCTCCCTCCAAGGAGACAGTCACCAACCCCCCAGATGCCGTGAAAACAAAAATATATACAAAAAGGTGATCCGTTTATTTCCGCGAACAGTACAGAAAACGTGCATGGAGCATTAAAGCACCACAGGCTCGGGACAAACAACTCAGGGCGACAGCCATATAGACGTCCTGGAGATGCACGTGGAATTTCACATCACCCTCTGCGTCCACCATTCCACAAATGGCTTATCCCACCACCAGAAAAAAAAATACGCACAGAAGAAAGTCGTTCGTTCAACGCCCTGCCGTAAGAGCCGACGTGTTTTTCTTCATTTGCCTGTTTGGCACGAGCAGCAAGAAGCAGCCACACAAACAGCACTGCAGGAGTCTGCACTCGATTGAGCCGTCTTAATTCTGCAAGAAAATCCAGTTGCAGACGCAGACACGAGACATATTAGATGCAAGTGCAAAAAAAAAAAATGAAATCGGGGCAGGGGAGTTTAGCAAACGTTGACAGGAACTGGTCAACGGAGCAGCATCCATTCACCCGCACACACACACACATACATGATACAATCCAAAAAACAACGGGGTAAAAAATGTCCCAGACGCGTCGGTGCATGCAGAGGAGTCCAGCCAGTGCAAAAACCAACACGCACACACATGCGATGCAGAAAAAAGCAAGCCCCTACTCCCCACACTTCAGCCTCCTCTGCATCCGCAAAACATGGAAAGCCATGAAAGCAGACCCGGTAATTTACCATCAATACCAAAGAATTCACGTCCCAAAGGCACTCACTGTGGCTTCGTTGTACTGTGATAGTGCACCTTCACCTCCCACACCGCCTCCTTTGATTGTCCAGTGCCACCTCCAGCATCAACAGTGGCGGTGGCCCTGAGAAAGCCTTGGTTTGCCAACCCAACGACGGTATAGTCAAAATTACCACCCCACTCGCGAAGCGTGAGGTCGTTCCTTACGTACACCAAAAAAAGCTTCCCAACCTTATCGACGGAGCGGTGCGTCAAGGGGCTGCTTGCCGTATTCGCCCAGACTTCTCGTCGCGCCTCCGAAAAGGCAGAAACAGACAGAGAACGTACAAAATCGGACCACTCCTCTTTCAACGTTGCGGCAACAGGATTCTCCTTGGCAAGGCTGCTAAACTCCCCAGCGCCCGCTCCACCTGACTCGTCTCCACCACGAAACCCACCACTTCTTTTCTCTTTGGTGCTAGTGCAACCCATAATTCCCTTATTTTTATTGCACTTCTTTTTCCCTATGTGGCGTGTAATGGGTGTTGCAGGTTCCCTACTCCACAAAAGCGCAATGAATAAGATGACAAGATAAAAAAGTGCATGTCGACTACTCGGCAGCATACTCCCCGCGGGCATGCCATCCCACAAATTCGTCCCTCTCCTCTGGCAAAGAGCAGCATTCAATCATTCTTGTTCGTCTAAAGCATCCCATTGATGCTCGTTGCCCTTCATTCACCCACGGTTGAATCGTAATCGTTTTTTTTTTTATGAGTTGCTGCGTTACTCTCACGTAATAAACGCAATTATATATGGCTGCGCCCCCCACACCCATCCATACAGACAGAAGCAGAACATGCACCTTGAATGCCCCCTCCCATCCCCTCCAGTGCACGAAGAAAAAAAGTACGTGAAGGTAAATAGTTGGGTTCATTGTCCCCAATCATTCTAGTTCAAAGCAGTTATATTTACCGCCCATAGACCGGCAAACACAATCGATTCATAAACGAGTCTTGTGATCACCGGCTCGCGGGAACTCACGAAAAGGCAGTCTCTGGAACACTGCAACTGTCAGACCTCTCCGCTTGCAGTAGTGAGGGACCAGAGTAAAACAACAGAAAAACGGAAAACCGCACGCGCCATCCCATCTTCCCCTGTGTTGTTTAGAAAATAAATAAATATTGAAACTTCA